GATGCTCGGGCGGGGCGGGGCTGGAGGGGGGTCGGGGCGGGGGGCGCACCGGGGGATGGAGCGGGGGCGCGGGGGGCACCGGGCGGGCTCGGCGGGCACCGGGCGCGGGCGGTCGCTCCATCCCCCCCGGGGGATGCCGGTGCCCGCTGACCGCCGCGCTCTCCCCGCAGTGCGACTTCTCGGAGGAGCAGACCGCGGGTGAGTGACCGGCACCGGGCACCGGGAGCGGCACCGGGAGCGGGAGCGGGGCTGGACCCGCCCCAGCTCGGGGTACCAGGAACGGACCCCCCCCGGACCGGCCCCGCCGCCCCCAGCGCTTCCTGCGCGGCCGCGGGCGGGGCCTTTTCCCGGGCAAAGTCTGTCCCGGGCGGGGCCGTTCCGTTCCGGGGGAACGGGGGGGATGCGGGACCGGGGCCGGGGGCTGCGGGGCCGGGGCTGCGGGACCGGGACCGGCACCGGGACCGGAGGGTGTCCGGGCCCCTCCTGCGCAATTTGCCCTTATATGGGCACAGCGCGCCTCGGCCGCGCATTCCTGCGGGGCGGGGCCGCGGATTCCTGAGCGCTCCCGGTTCTCCGGGATCCGCCGGGGGCTCCGCGCCCTGCCCGGGCAGCATCCCCGAGGGCGGCCCGACCTGCATCCCGGCCGGCGTCGGGTTCCGCCGGGAAACCGGATCCCACCGGGGAACGAAACCCGACCCGGAGCCGGAGGGGGGGGCTGGGAGTGGGGTCCCCGAGGTCCCGGGGAAGCGGCTGTGGGGTCCCGGAGGTGTCGAGTTCCAGGGATGGAGCGGGGTGGGAGGGCCGGCGGTGTGTTGAGGGTCCCGGGGGCACCGACACGGGGGTCCCGCTGCGTTGGTGGTCCTGAGGGCACTGACACGGGGGCATCCTGGTGCATTGGGGGTCCTGAAGGTGCAGAGTCGGGGGTCCTTTTGCCGCAGGGGTTCCAGTGGTGCTGATGCAGAGATTCTGGAGGTGCTAAGTCGGGGGTCCCTGTGCCCTGGGGGTCCTGGTGGCGCTGACATGGGGGGGTGCCCAATGTGTTGGAGATCCCAGCAGTGCTTATGTGGGAGTCCTGGCAGCACTGACACGGGGGGTCCTGGCGTGTTGGGCGTCCCGGTGCCCCGGGGGTCCTGGCACCGCTGACGTGGTGGTCCTGGCAGAGTTCAAGGAGGCCTTCCAGCTCTTCGACCGCACGGGCGATGGGAAGATCCTGTACAGCCAGTGCGGGGACGTGATGCGGGCGCTGGGCCAGAACCCCACCAACGCCGAGGTCATGAAGGTGCTGGGCAACCCCAAGAGCGATGGTGAGTGGGGGATCCCCCTATTCCCTCCTCCCGGGCCCCCAGGACCCCCCAGCCCTCACCCACGTGCCCCGTCCCACAGAGATGAACGTGAAGACGCTGAACTTCGAGCAGTTCCTGCCCATGATGCAAACGATCGCCAAGAACAAGGACCAGGGGTGCTTCGAGGACTACGTGGAGGGGCTGAGGGTCTTCGACAAGGAGGGCAACGGCACCGTCATGGGCGCCGAGATCCGCCACGTCCTCGTCACCCTGGGTGAGCCTCGACCCCCCCGCCGGGCCCCCAAACCCTGATGTCCACAGGGAAACCAGATCTCACTGGGAAACGAAACCCAACCTGGGCCAGAGAGGGAGGTCTGGGGGGGTCTGAGAGTGGGGTCCCCGAGGTGTTGGGTTCCAGGGATCCAGCGGGATGGGAGGGCTGGCGGGGGGGCCCTGGTGCTCTGGGTGGTCTCGGTGCAGCTGACAGGGGGGTCCTGGGGCACTGGGCATCCTGGAGGTGTAGATTCAGGGGTCATTTTGCCCTGGGGGTCCCAGTGGTGCTGACACGGGGGTCTCAGTGCCCTGAGGGTCCTGAAGGCGTTGACATGGGCATCCTGGTGCCTTGGAGCTCCTGGAGATGCTGACATGGGGGTCCTGGTGGCACTAATGCAGGGGACCCCCTCAGGGACCCCTCAGCCATCCCTGAGGACCCCCAAAGCCCAGCCAGCTGCAGGGGTCCTGTCAGCTCCCACCAGCCCTGGGATCATCACAAGCCCCCAGGCAGCCCCCAGGACCCCCTGCAAGGCCAGTGTGTGTCCCCCCCACCCCAGGGTGACACGAATGTCTCTCAGGTGAGAAGATGACGGAGGAGGAGGTGGAGCAGCTCGTGGCCGGGCACGAGGACAGCAACGGCTGCATCAACTACGAAGGTGAGGGCTGGGGGTGGGAGGGGGGTCCCAGGGGTGCCGGGGGTCCCGGGGGGGGTTCGTCCGTGACCACACTCCCTCCCTGACCATCATGTCTCCTTCCTTCCTCCCAGCGTTTGTGAGACACATCTTGTCAGGGTGACGCCGCAGGGGTAACGCCTCCCCCCGCCCCCTCCCTCAGTTACTTCCAGTTTTTTTTTTCCTTCCTTTTTTTTTTTTCTCCCGCCCTGGGGTCTTTTTTTTTTTTTATTAAAAAAAAAGAAAAAAA